GCAAGCGAAAGTTGGTGCTGCGTTTTAATTTTAATTAATTAATTTATTCATTTGTAATTACATCTTTATTAACTTGTTTTTATGACAAATTTTATTTTTATATTACATGATTAATATTTAATCTTTTAAGTCTTGAATTTTAGACTAAGTACAATACCAAATATAATAAAATTTTTGAATTTTATAGTTTCTTATTGAATTTAAAAGAATAAAATAAGTTTTAAGCTTGATTGATTAAATGGCATTTACTTAGTTTGAAAAAATATTAGAAAATATTGATTAGTTTTTTTTTATTTGGAATTTTAAAAAAAAGCAGAATGTGACTCTGTGCAACTGTAGTTACTTTTCTTATTAAAAAGCATTCCAAGTTTTAAAATCAAAACTGGGTCTTTGGTTATGGCGTTTGTTTACTCAAATTTAAATTTTCTCTAAATTCTTTTAAACATTTATCCAAATTTTATTCCAAATTATTATCATTATAAGTTATTATTTGTATTATTATTAAATTAATTTTATAATTTTCTTAAAAACTTTATTTATAAGTAAAAGAGAGGTTAGTTTTCTTTTTTTAAGCTCCCGCCAATAGGCTTGGCAGCCTACTGCTGCAGTTTTCAATTGGAGAAATTTTTTTCTTCTTTGACCATGGCAGAAAGAAAGAGAAAAAGATTGTCAGAAGATCAGTCTGACATTCCTTGTCCTTTAAATTATGTAGTTGAGGCTGAGACAGAAAATATGTTTTCAAAAATTTCAATTTTTCAAATAGATAAATCTTTTACAAACAATGTAGGTGATGTAGAAATAACTAAAATTTTTCCCAATAAAGTATTAATTAAAATTAATAATGAAAACCAAAGGGATAAAATAGAAAATATTAACAGAATGTTTGATTGTAATATAAAGACTTACATTGATAATAAAACAAATGTGGTAAGAGGAGTGATTAGAACAAGCATTCTGAAAAATTGTTCAGAGAAAGAAATAAAGGATGAGTTGTGTACAGAGGGAGTAATTGATGTTAAAAATATAAAAATATTTAAAAATAAAGAACAAACAAAAACTAATATCTACATTATTACTTTTCAATTATCCCAACTTCCTATAGAAATTAAAATATGCTTTTCTAAAGTAAAAGTTGAGAAATACATTCCCCCACCCATTAGATGTACTCGATGTCAAAAATTTGGCCATTTCCACAAATTTTGTAAAAATAAATCAGTTATATGTGCTTATTGTGGTGAAACTGCTCATAAACAATGTCGGATTGAAAATCCTAGCGACTAAAAAGACTAATAAATAAAACACCACGAACTAGAGTTTCCACTCCAACGCAGATCTTTCTTCGATATAACAACACAGGCAATGATCCCGCCAATGCAACCTCATCCATCACGTTCGCCAACAAACGCTGCGACGATCTGGTGGGAAAGTATTGTCGGATTGAAAATCCTAGCGACTAAAAAGACTAATAAATAAAACACCACGAACTAAGGAGGTGATTTGTGCGGGCTTTATAAGAAACTGCGATGACTATTCTGATGGGTATTCGGGCTGCTGATGATTCCCCGGTAGGGACGAAACACATGTCCAGCCTATCCAAACGAATACTATTCTTTTCTTCCCCCGCTCACTGCTCTTCTGGTTCGGTGTTTTCACCATCAAAAACGCAACCGCAACAACACTCACGGGAAAATCCATGTAAAACAATCCTAAATGTTTTCATTGTGGACAAGCCCACCCATCATTTGATAAATCTTGTTCAACCTACAAAATTGAAAAAAAAACAATTGAAACAAAAATCATAAAAGGGATAACCTAAAAACAAGCCAAAATTTTAACAACATCAAAAGATAAACCAACATATGCTAGCATAGTACAACTTAAAACAACAAAAATAACTACAGACATTGGTATCCAATGCAATTTATTAAACGTCCCAGTTTAAAAAAAACTCTAAAACAAGAATCTTCAGATAGATAAAACAACATGTGATGTTTTAGATGATATTCTATTAAACAACATGAATGATAACCAAAAGACACGTGCACCCAATGTATATGCTCTCCCATCAGATGACACTGAGATGGAAAGTGATGAAGATTTAAGATTTAAAAAGACACAACTTCCCAAACAATATACTAAGAACAAATCTCATATAAAACAAAAACAATGACATTTAAGTAACCATGAAATTAATATATTACAATGGAACATAAGAGGTACAAAATGTAACTTACCAGAATTATATTTACTTATGGAAAAATACAACCATCATATCATATGCTTACAGGAAACTAAATTAATTAAAAACAAACAAATTGAAATTAAAAACTTCTGTTCATACCATTTAGATGCTACCCCGACAAATACAAACCCAAAAGGAGGACTTTCTATCTATATACATCATTCTCTTATCCAATCACAAATAAATATAAACTCAATTTATTCAATAGCTGTTAGAATTACCTTAGACATTCCTTTAACCATTTGTAACTATTATAATCCTCCTAATACAAAAATAGGTGATAAACTTGAAAACATTATTAAATCTCTCCCAGTGCCAATGATAATATTAGGTGATTTCAATGCAAGAAACATACTTTGGGGTGACAACAAAACTAACACATTAGGCAAGGAATTAGAACATTTTATTGTACACTCAAATATATGTTTAATTAAACCACACATGCCTACCTATTATCACATACAAACAAATACATGGTCCATAATAGATCTGTCTTTAGCCTCCCCAATATTTACAGACATGTAACATGGCATAAAGATGATGACTTACACAACAGCGATCACTCTCCAATAGTTCTAACATACATTATCTCAAACCAAAACAATGTAACAAAAATAAAATATAACACTAATCGAACTGATTGGAAAACATTTGAAACTTTATGTCAAGATAAAATAAATCCAAAAACTATTACTAATCAAAAAGAAACTCACCCCATAACTTTTATTTCAAACACAATTAACTCAATGTTAGAAGAAACGACTCCAATTAAAAAAACTAACAGTAACAAAATTGAAAAAAATAATTCCATGGTTTAATGAAACATGCAAAAAAAGTAGACTTCTCAAATTAAATGCACTCAATAGATACAGAAAATTACCAAATCTATCTAATCTTTTAGAATATAAAAAAAACTACAAGCTAGAAAAACTTTTAGACAAGAAAAATCAAATTTATGGAATAAATATATAAATAGCATTAATATAAATATACCAATGAAGCAAATATGGACTATGGTTAATAAGATAACTAATAAAAATAATATCAGTCGCATTAGCAGACTACAATAAAAAAATAAAACATATGAAACCTTAAAAGAAATTACAGAACTACTAGGAAATCAATTTAAAGAAAACTCTTTTCTAATAAATCATCAAACAGAATCTATAAATTATATGAAAATGAAAGAAAATATCATAATAGACTTTAATTCAACAAATAATGAGCCATATAATGACCTAATAACATTGTCAGAAATAGATCATGCCATAACCTCCAGCAAAAATTCTGCTCCTGGTCCAGACCAAATAACATATAATACTCTTAAAAAAACTACCCTTTACTACTCTACAAGCATTGGAAAAAGCATCCAATCTTATTTGGACACAAGCTGACGTTCCTAATGAATGGCAAAAGGCATTAGTATTGCCAATACCTAAACCTATATATATCCAACAACGTTTACCGAATAATACATCAATTTATACAGCAAAACTTCAAGCAATAAATCTAGCTTTATATCAACTAACAAATGAAAATAATAAAAGATATATCATAATGACAGATTCGTTGTCAACTGTACTAGCCCTTAAACAAGTTGAAATATATATTGAACTTATAAAAAATATAAAAACTAAAATACATGAGTTAATACAAAATAAATGTAATATCCAAATAGTATGGATCCCCAGTCATATAGGGACAATTGGCAATGAAAAGGTTGACATGTTAGCAATAAAAGCTCACCATATCCCCATAACAGATATTGCGATTCCACATTCTGATTTAAAACCAAACATTGTAAAATATATAATATCATTATGGCAAACAGAATGGGATAAAACAAAAACACATCTCCAGCAAATACAACCAAACATTGCAAAAACAAATATTAATACATTTAACAATAGATTTTTTAACAATTGTAAACAAAATTTATAGAATCATGATAGGCCATACTAATCTCACTCACAACTATCACTTAAATAAAAAAGAAATTCCAATTTGTCAATTCTGTAATAATAAATTAAACATTAAACATATATTTATTTGCAATAAAACAAAATAAATAAGAACTTTGTTATCCTTGCCTGATAATCTAATTGACATTTTGAAAATAAAAAAAAATATCATTTCAATGATAGAATACCTAAAAAAGATTAATTACTATGATATGATATAAATTTCACTGAAACAGCTCTTGAAATCACGCAGTCGAGGGGCTTTCTTGATTGGGCTGTGTCGATTCATTGGTCTAGAATAAGAATTGAGCCAATTAACTTTTAACACTAAGAAGCTTAATTATATAAATTACTTGTATTCTACAACTGACGGGAATTTGGATTCGATGATTGTGTTGTGGCTAGAGTTGCTGGGAATGGCGCTCTCTTGGGGGGGTTGAACTCGGGCTGGTTTGCTGATCTTACTGATCTGTGGCTTTCTCTTTGTGCATTTCACCAAAATAAATAGGAAAATATTAATCATCCTGTGTGGCGTGTCAGGTTTTTTACTGTGGACATGCCTCGTATTGATGGCTCAGATATGACAAAGAGAAGATATAAATTTCCCCGAAAGTATGTCGAGAATCTGCTGTGGATAGCCATTTCGGTGGAGACTCGGATAATATAGGGGATTTAATCATTTTTCTTGATTGAGGCTAGATACCATAGTGGAGGCTCAAACGCCATTGATGGGTTTTTTTTACATCTGTACGGTTCGCTCAGGATGTTTTGAGAATCTGCTCTGGCTGAATACCATAATGGAAACTCTAATATCTTCGAGAGGATTTGTGCAGTTTTGCATTTCTCTCAAAGGGCATCGAGAATCTACAGTGGCTAAATGCCATGATGGAGGCTCGTGTGCCGCTAAGAGAGATTCAGACCACTCTATCCTTAATCTTTATAATCTTCAATTTTGTGTCGAATGCCGTCTGTGGATGGCCTCCATGGTGAAAAATCAAGCGACATACCAGGAAATTAAATAGTCAAAACGTTATTGAAGTAGAGTGAATGCACTGAAGTGAGAGTCATTGGTTTGTGGGACTGGCGAACGGTAGGTGGGTTTTCTCTCTTCGTGCTGACGTCAACTTCTAGTGCTTCTGGTCTATGGTGTGGTTATTGAATCTGTTACCCGTTAACTTAAAAAGACTGGAATAAACTATTACAACCTTACCTCTTAAAATATACTTAAGTCAAAGATTATCATTTATTTTTCTGGATTGATGTGTTGATATATTTTGATCTGATTCTTCCTTTTCGACTGTGATTGATTTTGAAGATGTAATAATAATAACTACATAATTATGAAAAAAAAAATTAAATAAAATAAAAATTAAAGAAAAAAGATTAAAATTACTGGCACATTATAGCACCATCTTGGGAGCTGCAGTGCCGTTAAAATTTTCAAAAAAAAAAAAAAATTGTTATTGTAACTACTCTACATTTTCTAACATTTTCTTACAAAGTAAATATTATTTGATCGATTAAATTTTAAAATTGTTTTATTTTATTAAAATCAGTAAAAAAACTTCTAAAATGTTTAATTTGTTTTATTTTAACAATTTTTCAAAATACAAAATTTATTTTTACTTAATTTTTAAACTTTTTCAAAATTCATTTTTTGTAACTTAATTTATAATATTATTTTAACTGCTCATATTTTTTTTATATGTTTTACAAATCCGTATTCATGCAGTCTTACAAAAACCTATTTATTCACGTTGAAACTCTCAGTTGGCAGCAGATGCCGAAAATGAAGATAACATTTCAGAGCAAAGAAGACAGCATGGCAAGAGGGTGAGGTACGGAGAGATCATCCAAGTCAGTCCTTCCTTTGATGTTCACTACAATTTGTCTGCGTTCTTTTTTGTTCTTCAACTTTGAAATTTTTCAATTGAACAACGTTGGAATAACGAGTTTTATATAAAAAGACATTTTTTGAAACTGTACATTATTAATACATTTCTCAATGACTCACATTCAGGTGAATGCACTAATGAAGCTAATAGTTCTTTTTATTAATTAAGCAAGTTTTAAACAAACACAAAAACATATCTGTTTATTTATGTCATCTACTGTTTTTATTATCAAAACCAACAAAATGAACAAATGTTGTAACAGCGGTTGCAGCAATTTTTTAAATATTCATTAGTAAATTTCCTAACGTGTTTCGATCATTATACAGCATACACATACAAAATCCATGTTGAAATCTATTAAAACCCACCACCCACCAGTTGAAGCACGTCTTCTCAAACAAGTACATCCATGTGAGCACAACTCAAACAAGTAGAAGAGACAAGAACAATATGCTGGTTAGTTTTTTCAATTTTGTTTTGTAAGCTTTTTGTTTGTTCACCTTTTAAAAATGTAGAAATATACTTTTTATCGAGCGCAGTTGTTTCATTTGTCTGTCAGTTTTTCATCAATGAACCTTCGTATAAGATTTTCGCTCTATGCATATTAGCGTCCGTGTCGTCTAAGGAAGTTTGGGCGTTTTTGAGGCTACTGGCGTTTTCAAAAGTGGCCATAAATGTAATTATTATTAACATTAAAAATATTATTATTATAACCAAAAAGATTCCATTTTGTAATAAACAAACAAAATTTTTCATGTTTCATTTTTTAATGTCTGAATCGTTTTCGAGACTGTGAAATTTTATAGCGCACATCGGTTTGCTTCTTTTAACGTTAGTTAAAAATATGCGAGGAAAGATTCATGAAATTTAATTAACGTTTGAGTGCTATTGAGTATATCTTAAACAAATGATAACAGTGATTAAACGCTTCATAACAGTTTTGTTTTTTAGTTTTTCAAGTGGCAGCAGTTGTTAATGATTAAATAATGGTCCGATTACTTGAAATGCTTGTAAGCTAAATAAGCTGAATCATCATAAGGTTGTTCTCAAGGGTGTTGATAGCGTTTTTATCGTGGTACCGGGCTTTTAGTTGCGCTTGTACTTTTATTCACATTTTGGGTTTATTTAATTTTATTGAATGAATAAAATGAAGTCAAACAACATTAACGGCATGTTTCCAACTTTACTTTGCTCATTCAAATTTGCTGATGTTGTGCTTTGTGCCGTCATTATCAAATTTGCGTTCAACTTTTATCATCTCTGAAAAATTGTTTTCCAAAATTACATGGTTTTAGCCTGGTTATCGAGAAATTGTCATTTATTCTTATTATACGTTACTGCTGTAAATTTATAGGAATCAAGATGGCTTTACTTTTACTATTTATCCCGATTGTTCGTTTGAGATATAATTTTTTAATTTAATTTAATTTTTTAATTTTTTTATTGAAATTATCTATGATTTGGTCAAGACATGCGATATGGGGCTACGAATTTTGTTATTTTAATTTGTCATCACATATTATCTCATTCCTTTTTGACGTCTAATTTTTTCATTAAATTGACGTATGTCTGCCTCGTCTCCAGCTGTTAGTTTTAAACGTTGTTTGTGGTAATAAATTAGTTGCGGGTGTGTTTCCAATTTAGAAAAAAAATATTTTTCTATGAAAGAAAGTAAATTATATTATATTAACTTAGATGAATAAAGTAATAATAATTAAAAAGTATTTAAAAAGTAACTTTCGAAAAGAGTTGTAAAACGGCCTCATGCTAATTTTGATCAGTTTCTGATGCACCTAGTTTAACATTTATTTTCATTCAAAAGGTGTTTTTATTGAATCTTTATGAAATATGTAAATATTATGATTAAATAATATTAATAAATAATGTTCTAGCATGAACAATAAAAACAAAAACATAACTCTCCTATCGTGCATAACAATGGTATACATTAAGCGTGCCAACTCATTTCAATATGACCACAGAATTAATGTATAAAATATGGATAAATTAGAGTGTAATATTAAAACAAACATTTGAATACGGTTAAATAAAATATTTCCATCTTTGTTTTATTATTTGATTTAGTATTTAATTTATTCTCAAACACAGATTTATCTTCAAAACTTCAATGCTAAACATGCTCAGTTCCGACTCTTACCACGCTACAAAGTCAAATCTGAAGGGGAGTTTGTAAGTTTTTTCAATTCTTATTAATTTTCCCACTACCTTCAAAATGTTAGCGTTCTTTTTATTTAGTTTTTAGTTTTATTTAAACTAAAAAACTAAGTTTTTCGTAAAATGTGTCGCCCAATAAAATTTAATATTTAGGAGTCAAGTTTGTGCTGTTAATAATTTGTAAAGTTTGTTCAAGTTGAAACATGTTTATTTTTAATTTAAACAATGAATAGGTGCAAGTGCTTGACCAAATCATTCTTGAAAGTTTCAAATCCCTTGGCCAATTCTTTCATGCCAGCACAGCTTGGAAAATCGACCATTTCAACACAGGGTAGTCTTTTACTATTTAACATCGAATGCTACTCTATTTTATTTATTTCTGATTTTACATAATTATTATACATATTATACATCTTTAATTATATTTATACTATTTATTTTTTAAACTTGATCTTTATCTTAGATCCGAATTGAATCTTGGCATTCAACCAGCGGGTTTCACGGTAGTCAAAAGTAGCAGACCTAGCAAAGATATAAAAGATTTTGTTACGGTTCTCAATACATCCCTATTATTTCTGTAATCCTTGATATTAAACATAATATTTGTGTCAGCTCAAACTGATCGCAAGTACAAATAAATTGTCAGTTTAGAATAGCGTTAGCTGGATAAACATTTAAAATTACCACACGCACGCGCCTACACACAGAGCAAAAATTTGATGACTTGCTCACAATAAAATAATTTGATACATTGTAATATAATACTTGCCTCACGATTATTTCTTTTTTCTGTACAAGCTACAAACAATTTATATAAGTGCAATAATTTATCAAATTTACATAAACGCATTTTTAAAGGGAGGCAGTGTAATAAGACTGTTCCACAAAGAGTTGGAAGCATATTTGGTGGCAGAAGGTCTCTACGACGATGAAGTCACGGAAGATGGTTTGTTGATCATCTCTCAGACTCTTATTTTTATATTAATGAAAGTTTATAATATTTTTTGCCATAACTAAAATAACGCTGATGGTGTATCGAGTTTTAAATTGTAAGAATTAAATAGAAAATGTATGCGATTAAATTTTTAGAAACCGTTTATTTCGTTTACAGTGCACTTGCGTATTCGTGAGGTGGACCAGCTCGTCCCGAAGTCCCTCTACCCGTCGACGTCTGGCAACACGTACTGGCAGATTGAAGGGGAGACCAGTGTTCTCAACGGTATACATTTGAGAAGCAACTTTCAACATTCCTACATATTTATCTCACCGATATATTTGTAGAAGTTGCACGAGTTTCAACTGTAAATTTTATATGAAAAATGTTTAGAAAAACAGTTATACGTAAAGCAAATTTTAAAATTTTTTAATTTTTTAAATGCAAACTTATTTTTGAACATAAAAATTGAAGTTGAATTAATGTTGAAGGTGACGTTATCCGGTGGGAGCAGCAGATTCGCCTGCGTCACATGACAACTAGGCAGTACCTATGCATCACATCGGCCAGGAAGGTTTCTCTCATTGATGATTGGAAAGATCCGAGAACTGTTTTTAGGTTGCATCCTGTCATCAAAGTAATTGTTGTTGTTTTTGTTTGTTGATGTTGTTGTTGATGTTGCCATTGTTTATTGTTGTTGTTTGTTGTTGTTGCGGTTCTTGTTATTGTTACGTTGCATCCGGTATTCAAAGTTGTTTCTATTTTTGGCTTTAGTTTTCACCAATTTTTTCACAATTTTATGGATCAAAAAGATATAATTTACAGTCAGTGATTCAGTAAAAAACTGTCGAATTTTTTTATCTGTCATTTGTCTAAAAATAAAATATATGTTTCCAGCATACAATAGCCAAGTAAATTAAGTAAAACTTCTCTCTGCAAAATTGTTAATCGTTTCTCATAAATGATTTTTCTTAGTTTATATTCATTAAAAAAAGTTTGTGAAATTTGTAAAAAAAATCACTTTTAAAAGTTTCGTAAAAATTTCAATCGAAATAGTATTTAAACATGAAAATTTAGATTTTAATACATTTATCAACAGTTTATTCAGTAAAAAATTTTACGTACTTCAACGGACTTTTCAATTAAAATTGGAAGTGATTTTAGTCAATGTAAAACCATTTAATGTTTATTTTTTCAAGATAATAATGAAGTATATGAAAAATTTCGGAATAACAAATAGCGAGCTCTTTTGCTCAATTTGCTCTTGTTTATAACTTCTTTCTTGTTTTCATATCTACATATGAATTTTTTTAATTGGTTGTTTGATTAATGGCTAACTGATTGATTGAATGATTGATTGATAGACCTGATAGATAGACGTTACAGAATGACTGACTGGCTGATTGATAAATTGGTTAATTAATTAATATATTAATTGATCGAATAATATTTTTTTCTAGAATAACAAAACATTTTTTACACATTAGACAAAATTTTTAATGTAACTTACTAAGATGTATGAAATTACATTGTAGAAAATGTTTCGTCTCCACCTAGGAATCAGATGAAATTTCTTTTGAAAGTTATTCGAGGATTGAACACGTCATCACTGGCTATTGGTTGCATGCTCTCAGAGGTTTACTCACACTTTGAATGAGAGAGGCTTTTAAATTTTCAGATGAATTTTTTTTGTCACTAAAGTGTTTTATATTTATTCGTTTGATGAGGCTACAAATTCTATTAAATTATATGAGCTGCCGGGTCTTGGTCTGATTAAAAGCAAAATTCAATCAATTATAATGAAATGACAAAAAACCGTTTACAAACTATTATTTATTGAATAACAATGAAAAAATGAAGACGAGGAATACATCAGAAGGCAGCATAGAGAGAAATCAGATGAAAGCAAGAATTCGATGAAGAATCTTCGCTGGGATGGTGCCAGTCTGAGGAAGGTTAAATCGTGTGTAACATTAGGCTGTCTTTTAAGGTCGTTGCTATCTGTTTGTTTAAACAATGTTATTTAAAAAGTTGGATAATGTTAATTTTCATCACAAACCTACCAAACGTTCACGTAACATTTACTTTGTGTCTTCATGTTTGTGTTTGTCCGTGTTCAAATAGCGACGATGATAATTATTAAGACGAAATAGATTTATAATTTTGACATGAAAACTGCATGACTTAAAGGTTATATTTTACCATGCAATTTATTTGAAATATGCAATTATGCATGCATGCGTAAGGTAAGACCACTGTTCAACGTTTTGCAGTTCGTGTCGAGCTATAAATGAAAGCTTAACAAAACATACCAGAGTGACCCAGCGACATTCTTAAGCCATCTGAACAATCTAAACCAAAGGGAGAGGCCTATTTGACAATATACAACACTTTCTTATGGGTTAAAGCAGGGATATGCAAAGAATCTCAATTTTTTCAACTTTTAATTATTTTCGGTAATGTCGATTTTATTTTTTTAAATGTATACCATGGATTTGGATATATATTATATATATCCATGATGTTTAATCCAAATAAAAGTAATTAATTGCCACATTGAATAACAATTAAAAGAATTAAAATTTTAACATTTTAAATAAAAGCAATATTCCGAAATTAGTAAATATACGATCGTAGCTTTTGACTCGAACGATAAAAAAAATCATCCTTCTAATCCCTTCCGGAAGTAAGCTTCTTGTTCGACCGATAATAAGTGAGCGAAAGCTGTTATATTTATTCTAGTTATGTGATCTAAACGTTTAGCGTATGATTTTAAAAAAATGTGACCGATGAGCGCATCCATGTTTTATGGTCTCCTCGTCCTATAATATTCGCTCGTCAAAATGGCAGCCGATGCTTGTCTAGACTAAAGTTATTCGGCTGAATGTAAAGACGCAAAAATACGTAAAAGAAAACAAACAAAACAAAAACTTTAAAAACAAAAACTTGATCGTGATTTCTTGACTCAGTCCAACAGTTTGATTCAAACAACAACTAAAATGCAATTTAAAGTCAAAACGAAGCCGTTGTCTTGTCTGATCTGGTTTAAATTTTTCTAAATCTTATAATTATATTGTAGTTGTTAAATTATAATTTGTTTGCATGTTTGTGTTTACTTTGCCTTTACTAATTCGTTTACAAACGTAGATGCCATCTGTTAGATTAGATGGTTATAACTTATAAAAAATATTCAATATAAATTTTTTATATATTATACACATAATTACAATTAATAAAATATATGAGATCGTTGATAGCGGATGAAAAGCATTGCAGGGTCACTGACAAAAATTAAACAATATTTTCCCCTTGCTTTGCTGGAATTGTCCCAAAAAAGATTGATACTGGAAATTCCAGTACCTATAGAGAGCATTTGTGAGTAACTGGAATGCTCTCAAAATATTTACACTTAACAAATTTAATTAAATGACATTATCAAAGCATCTGGTACTGCAGGTATCCAAACGTTACTACAACCTTGCCGTGAAATCTGGAGAAATTTCTCAATGCCGACTGAATGGAACTATGGCATGACAGTCCCGCTATACAAAGGGCACGTCGACATTCATTCCAGGATATCTTGTTCGACTTGTGATGGAAATGATTACGAATACTAAGACTCGTAAGCGCAACGGTTGGAAACACAGATGCATTTGACAGTCCACTATTATTTATAACTGTGATGAAAAAATCGCAAAACGATACGCACTGGTGATATTTAGAATATAATATATGCTGATGATATCGTTTTAACAGCAACGTCTGAGCAGAATGCAGCACAAATGCTTGAAGATTGGAACACCATACTCGTCGATCATGGATTCAAAGTCGACATCAGCAAAACCAAAGCAATGAACACTGGTGAACCCATCCAATCCACAGCTACTGGACGATGGTTCTGTTCAGTTTGTAAAGCTGGTGTAAGGAACAATTCAATCAAGTGTCAGCATGTAACCAGTGGTGTCACAAATGTTGTTCAAAAATAATTGGTACTTTATCTAAAGTGTCCAATTTTGTTTGTCCTGCTTGCATCAGTCCACAACAACAAATTCGAAATAGCAATGTTTTTGAAGCCATTAAGGTAGAGAAAGTCACATCGTTTCAGTATCTAGGGGATGTTCTGGATTGTACTGGAACAGCTGAAGCTGCCGTTCGAGCACGCATACATGCAGCCTGGAATAAATGGTCTCCTTGTCTCTATATTGATGCGGTGTGACATCCCACTACCACTACGATCAAGACTTTATAAATCTGTGATACGTCCGGTGTTGTTATATTGTACAGAAACATGGCCAATGACAACCAAACTGGAACAACAACTTCAACGAACCGACAGAAAATGCTCCGATGGATGCTACGCGTTAGTCTGAAGGACCACATTAAATCTAAATCAAAATTGGTCATGTCAAACGAAGTGGAAACAGTGCCATATCTTCTCTTGCAGATGTTGAAGTACCTGGCACACGTCTCAAAGGCCGTCCCAAGAAGTCCTGGTCGCAAACAATTGAGCAAGACATGAAAGCTTTAAATTTAAACGTAATGGATACAACTGATCGTCTAATTTGGCGCAAAAAGTTGATGGCAAAGAAAACAACGTCCTAGCTCGGGGGAACATGGTCTCTGGACGCTAAACGAAGATCGATTGATTGATTTTTATTTTCTCGAGAGCATCAGCTTGTAAGATGTCAAATAAACTATTTAACTTGGTTTTGAAACTTTCTTATCCGTATCAAATCTACCGAAATCCTGCGTCGTGCTTGTTTAGATGATATAAAGAACGAATGCCGGCAACACCGTCTGCGGTTGTTTGGTTTTTGTCAAACGAAGTGGAAACAGTGCCGTAACTTCTCTAGCAGATGTTGAAGTACCTGGCATACGTCCCAAAGGCCGTTCAAAGAAGTCCTGGTCGCAAACAATCGAGCAAAACATGAAAGCTTAAAATTTAAATGAAATGGATACAACTGATCGCCTAATTTGGCGCAAAAAAATTGATGGCAAAAAAACATCCTTCCTCGGGGGAACTGGGTCTCTGGACGCTAAACGAAGATTGATTGATATTTAAGATGTTGGAAATTTTTTATTTTTTTTTTTATTAGGCGACAACTGCAAACATAGCGTCGCCTACAAACTCCCTTTTGCTTAGTAGCAGATAAGAATTTCTGCGAAACACTTGTTTGTGTTGCATCACAGCCACCCAATAAATATATTATATTATATAGTTATTGAGCACAATAAACCGACATTTGACTTTATTGATCATACCTCTAAAACGCAAACATTTAGCGCGACTTCACCTTTCAGATATCAGCAAGTGGGGAGAAGATGTACCACGATGCTTACACGCTGCAGAAGGTGGAAGACCAACACGTGAGATCGTTCAACTTTGTCAGTGGGATGGCTCCATTCCTCCTCAACCTCATCAAGGATGTTTGTTACTTCCATTTTATATTTTTTCATTGATGATGTTAGAGAATTTGATTTGCTACTGATATTAATGTTGTTATTTATAATTTCTCATCTTAAAAATTCTTTTTGATGATACTTTGGTCAGAGAGAAGAAGAAAAAATACTGAATGCAAAAAAGACATATAAAATAACAACGGTATGTTGAAATTTCTGTTTGCACATATTTTAGTCATTAAATAGTTTTGTTGTTGAGGATTTTTTTGGAATTAACTACAATATCGTAAGAAATTAAGTTTCGTAAGACAAATTTGTGACTTTTATAAATTTTCAGTTAATTTCATTGGTGATATTTAATGTTGTTGTTAACAGTGCACCTAAGATCAAAAAATTGATTGAAACTAAAATTTTAATCCAGTCAGAATTTTTTGGAATTTTTGCAAAAAAATTATCAAACTTCGCGGATCATTTTCAGGCATTACAAGAACTGAAATCTTTCATGTTGATAAATAATGTTGCTTCAAAAAAACATCAAAAACTCATGAGAAATCTCAGAGTATGTTTTGTTTGTTTGATTTTGTTGAATTTAAAATTTGTGTTTTGTACGTTTTTTGTTTAAAAGTTTTAAATATGTGTCACGCGTTTCTATGGTAATTTTTGGTCTTAATATTTAAAAGGTGATTGTTTGTTGCGTTTGTTCAACAAATTAAACCAAGTAATGTAACATATTTCAGATTATAGATCTCTTGGTTAAAATTTTAAAAAGTCCTCTCCTAGGAGCCATCGATCAGAGTCATTTGACCAAAGTAGGAACTTTGACAATTTGAAATATGGTGTATAATTTTATCAATGTTCAGTTATGTTGTCATTGATATCCTGTAAAGTTTCCTTTTAAATACGTTTCTTTTTCATTTCGCTTCTTAAACACATTTTCAGAGTCTTAAATGTTATTTCCAGTTTCATGCAACTGCTAAGTTAACTGCTAAGTTTTTCATTTAAATCTTTATCACACTTAGTTATGTCTAACCAGCATTCAATTTCGCTTTTTTCCAAATTCTCAGCTTTTAATGCTTCCATGGTTATTTTCTCTTTTGGTTGCATCTCTTGCTTTTATTTCAAAATAGTTTTTAAATCATTATATCGTTTGTAGTTGTTGAATTTTATTATATACTTGAGAATATAAATTTGTTCTTAAAGCAAAGAGTTCAGTAAACTTTAGTTTCGAAAGCTGAAATGCTATCGGCACGTTTTTTTATCAGCTTCCTCGTCAGCATACTCTAAAATAATTTTTTTAAACACTTGTTACAAATTTTAAACTTCTCTCTTTGGACCAAATTAGAAACTTTTCTATTTTCTTTTATTTTATGAACAAAAATTATTTATACATCATTTTTTTAAATAAACAATTACATCTAACACCTTATTGTGGATATTTTAAAAAAATATGTTTTAGACATTCATTTCTGCTTTCTGCTATGCCTTTTTGGACTGACAGATTGAAAGTAAAAAATAAATAGTGAAATGACATCATTGATAAAATATTAAAATACGTTGAATGCTTTAAATCATTACAAGGTTTTCAAAGCAGCTTACGACGTTTTGTACGTTTACATGATTGGAGACAGCAGAAAAAACTCGCTATACTTTGCTAAATACATCGATTTCTTTCAGACTCAAATTACTGTCAAAATTGTTAGTGAATGTTGAAATACATTTTTTTTATTCTAAATATATTTACCCGAAGATTTCTAAAAGCTCATGTGCCTTGTGCACAGAGGTCTTTAGTGTAGAGCTTGTATTGATACACAATATATGTTCATTTTACATGGAAAGTTGTTAAATTTAAAAATATTTTATTTGTATTTAATTTTTAATTGTTTCCATATTTTGTGTACGTTGATTGATTAAATTATTAAATATTTTTCAACCACTTCTATTTTGTCAACTATTTTTTATTTATTTTTTTATCAATTTATTTTTTATTTATTATTTCTTTTGCACAGCATCATAACTTTTTAACTGTTCCTTCTTTACTGCAAACATCGGCATTTTCTTACTTTTGCTGTTGTTGTTTCTTCGCAACCACCATTGCCACGCAGGGTGACATCGGATTGAATGTGGCACAAATGATAGTTGAACTCATCAGAGACAATAGGAAAATTGTCGATCGGATCTCTCATGAACAAATTGAAATGTTTGTTAGTTTGCTGAAAATTAATAAGGCAAGTTTTTTTGTTTCAAAATTTTCGAAACATATGCGAATATTTTTTTGTTACGTTAAGACATGTCCTTTGTTCATTTGCGTCAGGTTTGTTATGCAAAATTGCCATGTAATAAGACATTGAAATATTTTGGATGAGACTGCAAATATTCCCAACGTTACAATAAAAAAAGAGAAATACAACTTTATTTTAGTTGAACAGCAATAGACATTTTTAAATATTTGTTTTTAAAGAAGATATATGCCCAGTTTCATCAACATTTTAAAATTTATCAAACCTCTTACGTTATAGTTTGTCATCGTTAAACCTTCTTTTGTTTTTTTTAAAAATACAATTATTTTAGAATTACAGATATTTAGACCTTCTAAATGTACTGTGCGTATGCGATGGAGTGGCGATATCGGACAATCAGGTGTACATCACCGAGCACTGGCTAAGGAGGGATGGGGTGAGTTGGATTATATAAATCTCGTCAATGAATCATCACTTTTTTAAAATATTAAATGAACACAAATTTTAATAACAAAAAACAAATGGATATTCGTTATGTATATACAAATAATTGCAACAAATAACTTACAATAAGATCAGATGACAACTTTCCAGTGCTATGATTTTCCAGGATTGCGTATTTAGATGTTAATATTGTATTGCATTGCAGAATTTGTATAGCGCCTCTAGTGAGTTGACTTCAGAAGCGCTCTCTATTTTCTTCGCTGTTGAATGTTGAAAAAATGAGTCCTTAGCCGTTCTTTGAAGTCACTTTGACTCGTGATGTTGAAATTCTTTAGATCAGCAGGCAATGCATTCCAAATCTGGGCAGATGCTACTGAAAATCTTCTTTTTCCAAAAGGAGAAGATATGAGCTTAGGAATGTGTAGGCCACCGCGGCTTGATGATCGTAGTCGACTCCTATATTGAATCTCTGATACTGAATGAATCTGTTCCCTCAGGTAGATTGGTGCATCTCCAGTCAAACAATCTTTTAGAAGTAGAGCTAGTTTAAATGTTACTTTCTCCGGCATGCGAAGCCAGTGCAGTTCATCTCTAATGAATTGGTAGATAGGATCAAACCTTGATACGCCAGCAACCAGTCTAGCAGCGGCGTTCAAAACTGATTGAACAGCAGTTAGTGCATTGATGTACTTGATGACGGGAACAAGATCAGATATTGCATATGCAGTTGGAGTAGCATCCAGAAGTTTGGAGAAACCCAGCAAGTCCAATGTAGCACAAGTCTAGCAAATTTTCAGATATTTGCAATGCACAGCTGATGTCGGTATTGTTTACAAGTCTGGTCAAAACAATACACTTATAGCCTACAGTGATGCAGATCATGGAGGAGATAAATCTAGTGGAAGGTCGACATCAGGTGTAATCTGTATGTTTGGAGGAAGCGTGATCAGTTGGTTTAGCCAACGTCAACCCTCAGTTGCGATTTCAACTACTGAAGCAGAAATCGTTGCCGCAAGTGAAGCAGCTCGTGAAGTGATATGGCTCAAACGATTGTTGAACGACATTGTAGATCTAAAGAATAAGCCAGAAATTTTTGTCGACAATGAAGCAGCTATTCGTTTAGCACACAATCCAGAACTTTACAGAAGAACAAAGCACATCCACATTAGACATTTCTTTGTCAGAGAAAAAGTTGCAGAAGAAGAAGTTTCAGTTGAACGAGTTGCGGCAGAACTTCAAGATGCTGATGCCCTGACAAAACCAATGGTAGGACCAAGACTAAAGAATCTGATGTGTGCGATGGGTCTTCAGAACATTTAGGTTAAGGTCATCTAATGTTTTAAATAAAATGAGAAGGTGTTAAGTTTTATGTTTTATATTAAAACATTATGATTTATAATATACATTTATTTTTCTTTGGACCAAATGTTCTTTGCTTTGTATGTAACTTCACTTTTTCCTTTTCTGTTGATCCGGTGGATAATAAACAAGTCGAGAACGTTGCTTAGTTTATTTCTCTTCTTTTAATGTCTTTCAATATTATATCAATTAATTAAACGATCTACGTGACAAGAAATTTAACAAAATCTAACAGAGCCATGGTTGCTAGAACAAGGTTTCTAAACATCTCCGGTTTTGGACCTGGTGCCACAGGGTGAAACGTTTGTGATACTGTTTTCTTCCTTGCTACAGCGTCTCAACATTTCGATTTGAGGCGTTTTGCCTGCGGGAACTATTTCATTTCGTTCCTACCTTCTGATCCCAGGTCCCTTGAATCACTGAACATTTTCCAATCCGCAGATGGAGACGAGCTCGGTAGCAGTATCACCTGTGTGTTTCAGTGTGTGTGTTTGTATGTGTATGTGAGTGTGTGTGTTTGTGTGTGAATAAATGTTGTAACTTTTGTTTATCTATTCTTCTTTCTTTATTTTTCTTGGGCCTTATCCTTTCAGGACATTGGCGACTATCGACCTCCACAAAACCCGATCTTTAACACTTTGTAGTAGTTTAAATGTGGTGTTATTCAACTATAACTATTTATCTCTAACTTTATATAATGCCTCAACTGATGATGGAATTGTTACCTTCATCTAACAACTACTTGTGAAATTATGATTGTAACAAGTTTATTCTTGAAGAAAAAAAAACATGAATAGGATACCCTAAAAAAGCTTATCTTCTGTTCTAATGGGTACCCCGCAGCGATCAAACAAAACATCGTAACAGAAAAAGAAAATTTCTCGTAGGTTCAACGAAATTATAGTAAAACAAACAAAAATCGTAACACAATTATATGAATACTAATCACGACAAACAATTTAATTAAGTTTTAAGCTTGAACTTAAAATCCCCAAAAGTTGAACACTCTCGAACATAAAGAGGAAGCTGATTCCAATTTGTGCATCCGTAGTAACATATATTTCTCTCTTGCACTTTGTTCTGATATCTCACTTGATGAAGCTTTGTGTCGATCGACGATCTTGTATCTACCCTCTTGTCGGCCCATCTTAGAGAGGATCTCAGGTGGACATCTTCAGTGCGGTCCATGTTATGCAACAGTTTTAAAAATAAACAACAAGATTTTAAATAATTGACTTCATAAACAGTTAATATCTTTAATTTATTAAAAATGTCATTATTATTAGTATTGCTTTTATAATTAATAAACTTTAAAAATTTTTGTTGGGCTGTAAAGATATTTTGTAAGTAAGTTTTGAAAGTATTTCCCCAAATTAAATTTCCGTGAAAAATGTGAGGATAAATAAAGGCGTTATATAAAAGTAGTAAAATCTTATATGGTAATAGATGTTTAATTAAATTAATTAGTCCAATTATTTTATGAAGCTTGGTCAAATTATAGTCCACACGTTGTTTAAACTTTAGCTTAGAGTCGATAATCACACCAAGTAATTTGAAAGTCAAAACTTTTTCCAAGTTCAAATCATTTATAGCTAGCTCAAATTCGTTATTCAAATTAGTTTGTTTTTTTTTAAATTATTGCTTATTTTATCGAGTTCGGACCAATATGCTATTTGTTGGAAACAATGGTGGGTCTTGCTTTCTAGTTCGTGCACCGAGTTTGCTGTGGTGTAGAGCGTGGTGTCATCAGCAAAAATAACAAATTTTGATGCATCAGTGACATGAGTTATGTCATTAATAAATAGCAGAAATAATTTGGGGCCAAGGATACTTCCTTGTGGCATCCCACTTAGTACAGTTCGAGTCACTGATTTAGATTCAGCTATATCAACGTACTGAAGACGATTCTTCAAGTAACTAGCAAACCAATCCAATGCAATACCTCTAAGGCCGTAGTGTTCAAGTTTCTTAATCAATATCTTATGTGAGACGAAATCAAAGGCCTTAGCAAAGTCTAGAAAGACTACTGAAGCAATGCGCCCATCATTTATGTTAAAAACAAGATCATTTACCATCAACAGCAAAGCATGCTCCGTGGAACATTTTTTACGAAAGCCAAACTGCTCTGGTATCAAAATATTATTTTTGGATAAAAAAGATTCAAGACAGGTGTTAACTATTTTTTCTAATATTTTAGAGAAACAGCTAAGTATACTGATCGGTCGAAAATTTTTTTGTCGTGAGTTGAACCGTTTTTGTGAATAGGTATTACTCTTGCGATTTTAAAACAATCGGGGAAGGTCCCTGAAGCGATGAATAAATTAAAAAGGTAGAACAGTATGGCGCTAATGGAATGAATTAAGCTTTTCAAGATTCTATTAGAAATTCCATGATGGTCAAGACTGGGTGAGTTATTGAAAGAATTAACTATACCAGTTATTCCTTTAGAATTTGTTTCTTGGAGAAACATTGAGGAATAATTCGATTTGTTAAGAAAATTTTTAAAGCCAATATCTATTTTTAATTGATTGTTAAATAATTAAATAAAAATATTTGCTATCTCTTCTTGATCAGTAATTTTACTATTATTTTCAACAAGAAGGTAATAATTTTTTCTCTTTTTATTATTATTTAAAAGTTTAGAAATTGTTGTCCATTTTTCTTTGGAGTTTGATTTATTATTAGCAAAAACGTTATGCTAGTAATTTTGTTTTGTTGATTTGGTAGCATTTTTTAATGTATTTTTAGCAGAAGAATACATGGCTTTGTTATGATCCGACGGATTCGATTTATATTTTTTAAATTCTGCATTTTTTTATGAACAAATTTTTTTGTATATTTTGTGATCTATGGGGATTCTTTTTTGAATTTTTTTGTTTCATAAGTTCAGCATATGTAGAAAATCTTTTGAAACAAAAACATAAATTTATGAAATGCATTAGAAAAAGTACTTTTACTATTTGTGAAAATCAGATCTATCAAGGTGTTGGACGTGGATTTCGTTATAACATTGATTATTGGATAGATGGCAAACATTGAAAGCAAATTTAAAAATCGTAGACCGGTTATGGAGTATGTAGACACATCAATGTTAAAGTCGCCAATTAAAAAAAGTCTGTGTTCACTTGCAACACAATTTAGTATTATTTCCAACTGATCAACTGATGACATCTAATACTATATGTTTATGTTACAATTGTGATATATTGGTTTCAGTTTACACACATACAAACACACACACACAATTGTTATGTAATAAAAATAGATAAAATTGTTTTATTTACTACAGTCTGGCATGAGATTCTTAACAGAAAGAGGTCAGAATGTGAATGGGCAGCCAAACGTGATCTACGTGTCGCCTGACAATGGAGACATCTGGATGCCTCTTCATGAATTCGTCGATGTCTGTTTTTAAAAAAATAAGAAAATTTATTACTCTAATAATTACATGTTGCATATTTTTTGAAACGATTCAAGTTTTTTTAATCAATCATCTTTTAGAATCATTAAATAATGACCTAGCAGTTTGCGGATTTTTGAAAAGCAGTAAACGATTTCTACGAAAACCAACGATAAATCTATCAGTCAATTAGTTAGAGAACAACAACAAAAAATGATTTCAGACATAAGAAGAAAACCAAGATAGACAAGAATCAGTAATATTAAAAGAATGATTTAGCAGCCTCATGAGAATAGTATGACCAACAGTATCAAAAGCAGAGAAAAAGTCAAGAGCAAGAAGTAGAGTAAAGTTACATGTTGCATATTGCATCACTGGAGAGAAGGATATCATTATGTGATTTAAGTAAAGAAGTTTCAGTACTGTGAGCAGGCCTGAAACCAGATTGAGATACATGTAGCAAGGAGTTAGAATTTAAATGAAAAATGACAATTGATTATAAACTACTATTTCTTTTATTTTAGAGTTGAAAATAATATTAGTAACAGGTCTATAATTAGATAGAGAGGAAGGATTTAAAGATGAGTTTTTAAGAATGGAAATAGCAATATAATTCTTATAAGAAGTAGGAAATTTAGAGGTGGAAAGAGATAAATTAACTAATTTGAGCATGACAGGATAGAATATTGAAGAACATTCTTTAAGTAAATTAAGAGGAAGTAAATCTAGGGAACATGTTGCAGATGACATAAAATTAATAATTTTAGTAAGTTTTACAAGATTTATAGGAGTAAATCCAGAAAAAGATTCAGCAGTAAGTTTAATAAAGTTTTGAGGAGAAGAATGAAAATTAGATGTTCTTAAAGATTTAATTTTATTTACAAAAACGTCATGAAACTATTGAGCACAAAAATATGAATGAGAGGATTTCTTATGAAGGAGTTTAGATAGAACAGACCACCTATTTTTAGATGTTGAAGCAGATATTATAGAATTAGAATTTCTAAGAAAAGTAGAGTGTTTAGAAAATAGTGAATATTTATAATTAATTAATTTAGATTTAAAGATAGAGTAAAGAAAGTTAGATGGGTTTAACCTATAGGCTTTCTCCAGTCTTCCAATTTTTTTCTTAGCTAATACACAAGCATAGTCGAACCAAGGAGCCTTACGAGAATACAGCCTAAAAGTAAAAGATTTAAGAAGAACAAGCTTATCAAGAATAGAAGTAATGTAGATATTAAAAGCATAGACAAAATCATGAACATCAGAAAATAATGAAGTATCAAAAATAGTTTCAGTAAGAGATTGAACAAAAATATCTTTATTAAGAGAAGACCAGCATTTTTTAGAAACAGACATAGATGAGTTAGAAGAGAGAAAATCTAAAGAAAATACAGATTCAATAAGGACGTGATCAGAATAATGAATAGATGCAGCAGATATATTAACAGGCTTAGAAAAAGATGAAACTATAATATAATCAATAGTGTTACCAGAAGTATGAGTAGGAAAAGAACAATAGTGAGTTAAGTTAAAAGGAGATAAAATATCATTAAATCTACGAGTGTAAGAACAAGACAAGTTATTGATGAGTAAGTTGAAGTCACCAGAGATATAGAAAGGAATAGAAAATTAGTATAGAGATTCAACGAGTGAGTAAAATTCATCTAAAAATAATGAGAGAAGAAAAAGGAGGTCGATAGATTACATCAATATAAAAAGACAGAGAAGGAGACTTAAAAAATACAGCAAAACTTTCAAAAGAAGAAAATTTAAACAAAGTATTAATAGAAGCAGTAAATAGAGATTTATAAAATTGACAGACATCCACATAAGAAGAATGAGAAGATGAGAGGAGATTTTTTGGAAGTCTAGAGAGTTCAAGATAGCTGTAACCATCAGGAGTAGCAAGAATAAGAGAGGGAGAGTTAGAGTCCTCGTGCCAAGTTTCATTAAGACTAAAAAAAATCAGTTAAGAATGAAGAGATTATTTGCTGAATATAAAGAGAAGAAGACTTAAAAACAACAAGACATTCAAAATAAAAAGTTTGAAGAAGTATTAATGGAAGCATTAATTTCTCCCTCTCTTATTCTTGCTACTCCTGATGGTTACAGCTTTCTTGAACTCTCTAGACGTCCAAAAGAATATAAACGATGATATCATAATCAAGTGTATTATAATGTCATGCTCTAATATTTTCTAAAACTTTTTAGAAAAGGCTGACATAATTTGGGCTCTTTAAAAATATTTTTTCTTTGCTTCTAACACTTTCAAAAGTCAGAAACTGAAGTCCCGAATTCCAAGACCTTTGAGTTCTTGCCTTACTGGTTCATTTATTAAATCGTTAATTAATCATAGTGACATTATGTACTGCTGGTACAAGCTGTGCGTCCTTGCTTAATTAGTTTTTTGCACCAGTCCTTTACATCATGTATGTATCTATTTCCTTTGATCAATTTTTGTTTGTTATTATACTCTAGTGTAATATTTTTTTTAAATTTTCAGTGAAAACAATTGATTCACACATTTGTAAACATTTAAACATAAAATTCTTATAACTTTTATTTTACTACTTCAGAAGGAACAAAATTTGAGTTATTACGAAGAAGATGTCAAATTTTTCCAACACCAGCTCGACCTTTACGCCAAACTTGCTTATGTTCGTTTTCTGCTATTATGGTTTATTAAACTTTTTTCCTTATAGTTTTAGGGTTTTATTACTAATAAAACTTAAACATTTTTTTTAAATTAAAAATAATGAACTTTTGTAGGGTCGAAATGACTTTTCAATCTTCGTGATAACTCGTGAGCTGGGCATCCTCACCTGGGATGAAGCCTTTTTATCGTTGCGATCGCATATGCTACCTGATTCATTGAGAGCCAAATATTGCGAACTTATAATTGGTAAGGAACGAAAAAATATAAAATGATTATTTTATTATTTCAATTATTATATTAAACTTGATAAATCAATTGTTGGACATCGTCTCTATAAAATTTTTTCATAAATGGCATTATATTTTTAATAATATCACAATTTTTTAAGTTACTTCCGATCCGAATTAGTAATGAAAATTTATATATTGCTGTATCAGCACTGTTTATAGACGTTGGGACAAATTACTCAGTTCTTGATCACACGAATCTGTCATTTATATACGAAGATGTTTTAGCACCAGGCCCCAACAATGATGGAGAATATGTATGTTTTTTAAACTTTATGTTTTCAAAATTACAAAAAATTACGCTTTAACTTTAAGTTAAATTAAAAACATGACACTTACAAATATGAAATTTTCATAAAAACATATTTTTAATTAATATTAATTTTGCTCCGTTTTTATCCTGTCTCAAATTATTTGACCCATAATACTTTAAAATATTTTGATTAAATGGCGCTAATCAGGTGCGCAACAAACTGTCAGCCTGCGCTAACTGGATATCGCCAGAAGGGGTAGGTGCTGTTGCTGGCAGAGTTGACTTATCTCATGCTTTTTTAATTTTACAATTAACAAATATTTTTAATCCCAATGTTTACTAATAATTTTTATAATTTGGTTAAATCATCACGGGTTCAATTTTTGGACACCAACTGCTTTTCAATCATTAATTGTCAAAAAACATTTTTGGGTGGCTTTAAATGTTAATTTGAAACTTTTAAATTATTTAACATTTCTAACATAAACCCAAGATTGGTTTACATATCTATTATCAATTTATATAAAAAAAGCAGTATCTTTAGCGACCAAAAAACGTGGGAAATTAAACATCGTATCAAATCTCCGATATCAACAACCTCTGCAACTTTACCTCAGCCACTGAACATGCTCATAATTTTCGATCAAAGACTAGAGGTTCATTTTGTGCATTCTTATTCCAATGGAATGCTTTCATTTCACGTACAGAGAAATTTCCAAGTCTCTTCAAAAACGTTCTCACCAGCTTTAGTGTTTCCTAGATTCACACTTGATTTTTCTTTCCTAATAAGACTCCACATCATTGTTGTCACAATAACCAAAAACTTATTGACATAATTTTTTCTTATCTAACTTGTGATCTCCAATTTTTTCATCTGGATTAGTGTGAAGCTTTAACAACTGAAATATTTTATAGTTATCAGTATTCATTCAGTCTGTTTAATATATAATTAAATAGTTTTCGGCTTTACGCTTTATATATTCAGTAACTCAAGGTTTGTTAATTGACACAAAATAATAATTGTCAACTAATTATTAACAAACTAGCTTTTATTACTTATAAATCAACTTAATAGAGTTATTTACACCAACTCACTTTCTGTTGTATAACGGCATGTCATCAATTCAATGAATTATTTGATGAAATTATTTTCTTATTTTAATATGCTTCATAATAACTAAAAACACCCTCAAGTCATTTTGTCTTAAACTTCAATCCTGGCGGTCTTTTATGAATCACACTTATCGTTGCTGATCTGGCTATTTGTTGTTGTTGATTTTATTATTTGTTGTAGTTATTATTGTTGTTATGAACGATTTATTCTTGTTTGTTTTTACAAACTGTTACAGCATTTTATTCATTTATTTTTTTATTCAGCTTATTTCAAACGCTTTTGAGCTCGTTAGAGACAACAAACTATTATTAATTCTTTTAATTAATTCTCAGAGTTGTTCTACCTATTAAAGCATAAAATATTATAATATTATATATATTATATATCTTCTTGCATTTGACCTTAGTTACTGCAGAAGTAGTCTCATGCGCTTAAACCATTGCACCTTTTGGCTGCACAAATTTCATGATAATTTCCGTTTTGACCGGCTTAAAATTATTACCTTTTTTCAGGATTTTCATTATCTATCATAATAATTTAATTATATTTTTTGAATGAACTATTTAAATTGTACTTTGTAAATTGTTTTTTTTCAATATAATTCAAAAAACTAAAAAATTTAAAAATCTTTTAAAGCTGTTTTTTCATCATAACAATGCACACCATAAATTTTTTTATTTTATTATGTTTATTCAAAATATTACAATTTTGTCAGTGAGTTAGCTCAGTCGGGAGAAGTGCAATTTTTCGTGCAGTTACGTGATGGCCTGGTTTGAATACTGAACATAAATATAGAACATTAAGTTTTTGCCTACTTTTTTTATTTCACCAATCGGAAAAATATGATTTTTTCAAGATAAATTTTTGTGTTTTTCACAAGTTTTTCAAATGTTCAACTATAAAAATGTTCTGCTATTCTCAACGTTTCCATCTTGCACTCATTAAAAGCATCTTCCAATTCCTGCTTCCACGTTTGCATCTTTAGAGTTCACACATGGAGCAACATTTACGAAACCTGTTTCATTTATTTTATTATTTATGCTTCAATTTTATTACGAATGTTAATGGTAATAATGTAATTTTTGCTATGGTTTTTCTATAAAAACTTCAATTGAAAATTTTTACCTTCGAATTGGTTTTCTTATAATTTCAATAGTAGCATTCCAATCGATATTATAATAAATTTTGACAACTTTGACACAATGGCATCCCGGTGAAAGATTTTACGTTCCATACCAGTGGTTGATAATTGGTTAGCACCGGAAGGGGTGAGAATTTTTTATCTTCATAGCAATCATTCCATGTATTTGTTGTTTCTTATTTCTTGTAGTTATTGTTACTTTTGACGTTTGTTTTTTTTTTCATAAAGTAGTTGAGATATCTTTTATATGATGTTTTAAATGTGAAAGTTTCATTGTTGTAGATATATTTTTTAGTTTGAATTATTCATCATTATCTATTTTAAAACTATTCAATCAAACGTCTGTAACTATTTCTCCACATTCGTTACTCTGTACTAAATTTTTTCAACTATATTTTTAAAATTTACGGAATCCGCATCTTTTTTTTCTAAATTCATTAACGTTTGATTTTATATCTACAATTATTTTTCTATTCTGTGACATAACATAATTTTTCTTTATCGTATTTGGTTTATATGTCGTACAGAAAATTTTAAGTTTTTTTCTTAATTTCATTTGTATCTGTATCCAAAGATTTTTGAAACGTCCTTGTCAAATAACTTCATAAGAGCTAGCTTCACTCGAGAATGTCAAACAATTGATGGTTTTAACGTTTCTAGAAAACATGTCGGCTCATGTTGTTGAATTTTTTCAAATCTAAGAGTAGTGAGTTCCAAATTTTGCAGACAAAACAAGACAAATTGAATTTAGGAAACAAGTTCACCATTATAGGAGGATCTTAGTCGGCTCCGATTTGCAATTTCTGAAAATAATTGTTCCTTCAAATAAGTTGAAGCGTCACCTGCAAGACAATCTCTGACTAGAAGAGCTAGTTTGATGTATGATAATATTGAATTAAATTTTGAATAACCAGCAAGAAGTCCCACTGCGGCGTTCAGAAGAGACGGCAAATAATCACAAAGGGATAAGTTGACATCAAACATAATTGCATTGCAGTTGTCAATTCTTCCACAGATAAAACTACAAACGAGTAATTTTGTTGATTCAACTGTCGAATAACGTCTAGTTGATCTTATTCTATAGAGTTGGTAGAAACATTGCTGGCAGAGTTAATTAATATGTTTTCCAAATGAAAAATAAAAATCCAGTATAATATCTAGATTCGTTACTAGATTTTTGTAGTCATTTAAACAACTGACGTTTTCAACCACATATACTGATTAAACTCCTGGAAGTAGTGAGTTTTAATGAAGTAAGCGAAGAGCAGGCAAACGACAATTTTTTCAATTGTTTTGGATATGAAGGTAAGTTTCGAAATTGTTCTGTAGTTAGCCACAAAGTTGTTCGTTAGATTCGGCTTTTTTAACATCGGTTTGACCACCACAATTTTTTGGGACCTGAGCAACTTTTATGTTTGTAAACATTTATTGATCAGGTTTGGAAAATAAATGGCAGAAGCGTATCAACAAATTTCACTAAGAGAAATGTTGGAATAGTGTTGAGGCAGCATGTTTTACTCGAAAATGATTAAATGAGTGTTTTTAAATTTGTCTCGAAAATAGTCTCAAACTGGTGGTAACAGCTATGGTCGACCTGAGTTTTGGCGGATTAACAATCTCATCTGCTGATGGTTTAGATTTTGATTTTAGATGGGCTTAAAACTCTTCTGTGATTGGTGGAGCAGTCGTACATACATCTTTTGTTCACCAAGTAGGCATAAGGCCAAAAAAAATCTATAATTGTTGTGGTTTACCAAACCTTGAAATTATCTGCGATTGACAAAATGTTGATTGCTTGAACACAAATAGTTTGTGTTTTTCTGCAATTGCTGTTTTCCAACTAGGTCTACTTGTTTTTTGAACGTTGATAAACTTTTTCTAGCTTACGAGTAGATCGTTTTATTTCATAGCAACCGAAGTCAAACCAACTACAGGATTTTGAACGAACTTGTTTGTTGACTAACGGGGCATGTTCAATGTTCGTAAACAATTCGTCTGAGCGTTTCCTCACATACATCAAACGGCTCGTTCCAGTGAATTCGAGTATGCTCTGCTGTCACAGATAATGCTTTCGATATATAAATTTCTAGATTTAACACTATCTATCTTTTTGTAGTTCTGAACACGTCTGCATGTCGCCGCTTACCTAAAACACGAATGGATGATTGCACATGCAGTCCAACCAGCTTTAATGTTTCTACCACCAAATTAATATAATTTGTAAAGCTTTTGTTTTTAGTACATATATTGTTATTTCTATTAATTTTCTTAGCTAGGCATTAAAAATTATTAATGTATAATGTTTTTGTATTACTGTTTGACTTGTTGGCATGATTAATAAAATATCTTTGAAATAGTTTAAAATCATGTTTTCGTCAACCTCTTTGCGTAGGGCCCAGTATTAGTATGCATGTTTCCTTCCCCATAAAAATGTTTTTACATCTTGCCACTTTTTATGCTCCAACTAGCAATAATTTTATTTGCTTGAATCAATATTTTAATTAATGGTTTAAATTAATTTTTATTCGAATATTTTAAAAATATTATTATGTTTATATCGAATTTTAAATAAATTTCTTTTATAATGTTGCCTGAATAGCTGTTATGAATGTTGAATGTTACTGTCAATATTTATTATAGTTTAAAGTATTATGATTTGTAAACACTAAAACATACATTTTAAAATTAAAAAAGTTCAGAAACGAACGTAAATAAGAAGTTGAAGTTGAGCAAACGGCGTGAAACGTCAAAAGAAAAATAACTTTGCAGCATCAAGTTTACTTGGTAACTGTAAACATTCACATAATCTTGTGAACTTAAAAAACGAAATGGAACGTAATAGAAACATTGGAAAAAGAATGAAACAGACTGTCAAAATCTTAATAATAATATTCCCATTATTCTTTTATGGGAGCTGTAATGTAATTGAAGTCCAATTTTCTTAGCGCCTTTTTTGTACATCCTCTCTACTTTAAGCTTGATTCATTGAGTTTATCATTTCTAATTACAAACTGTATACGACCAGTCACTGTAGGACTATCCGCACTGACGCCAGCAGATCAACAACATCAGCAAATTTAGGTCCTTTTCGGTTCAGCCTCCAAGTCGATGTTGCAGTGATTATTATATTATCCATCACTAATATTTTGGTTCATAGTTAGTGTGAATAAAAGTTTTTGTTGAAGGTAGAATGTGTTAAATTTTTGTTTTTTTAGCATGTTATATTTTAAAATTGTTCAAATAGTTTGCCATTAATTGATGTTATTGACAGAATCATTTAGATGTGGTTCTAAAATGTTTGCAGCAAGCTTTAATTAATTTTACAAATTACTCTACGGTTACAAAATTATATATAGTTTTGATATGATATAGAGTTTTATTTTATATATTTTTTATTAGATAGCGTGCTGGTTGATTGATTGAGGTTTTACGATCAATTATGTTTTTCTAAGACGAGACCGTCAATTTCAAACAAAATGATAATGTTAGCTGAAATGATGGTTTGGTTTATTGTTTTATTTCATAATTGTAAGGGCGTAAGTTAAACAAAAAAAATTTTAATTATTAAAAATGAAATTTAGAAAAGATTATAATCGTTTAAGTATTATTTGTATATATGTTCATGATCTATTTAATATTGAATCAGAAATTAACAAACAGCTTAGAATAAGATAAATAAATAAAAAATAAAAAGCGAAATATATTTCGATGAACAACATCTCAAGTCTAATAAATTGTTTTTTGATTTTTTTTTTAAAAGATAATAAAAGATCTTGTAACTTTGTTTCCGGTCATACGCGATTGGATAGCGGAATTTCTTGAGCAGAACAAAGACATGACGCAATCCCTCATTGGAAGGAACATGCTCATCGAACAGGTCAGC